CATTGTTAGGAGAACGGAAGGACGTATTTAGTTCCTTTGTTGCAGTGCATTTCTGTTGACATTAACAAGAGCTCTGGATATCAGCTGCCTCCTAATCCTGACCCAGCGATGTGGATGAGCTCTTGCATCTGCACAGAGTTCTCTGGGCTCCATACGGGCCATGACTCAAACTGCAGAATCACAGCCTCGGGGAAATCATGCAGTGTTAATGTGCTGTCCTGGGATTTGGGAGACCCAGGTTCTGTTCCTCCCCTGCTGCAATTTCTGGTGTGACCTTGCAGATTCATCTGGCACCTCAATTTCTCTCCCTGTCTTGTAGAGTATTGAGAGACACTCTGCTGCTGGAATGTGGGCTCAGTGATACTTATGACAGGGTGCACCTTAGGGCAGAAATTGAATACTGTCTTTGAACAGTACTCAATTAATATTAAAAGGGAAATAAAAGGGATTTACAGCCCTTATTATAAAAACATTACTACAAGAGAATAGTACGAACAAAAAATAACAGATGTAATGTTTCTTTCTCCAGTATCCCCCTCCTCCATAACATGGTGTTCAGCTGCCACAGTTTCCAAAATATGATTTTCACTGCTCTTCCCGTACAGTTGGGCTTTATTAATTATTTCTAGGTGGGCCTTAATGATCTAGAGGGTGGTATCCCACTTTCATGACTGGGATTGAGCTATACGTCGTTTAGAGAAAAAAAAAAAATGAACCCTTGTAGTGTACGTCTCTGTTAGATTGCTCAAGGAATGGCTGTCGGCACAGGTCTCTTCTGCAAAGCCCGTTTTGTGTTGGGAGGTGGGCTAGTTTACTGATTACTGTTTTGAAATGGAATTATTTGCTGGTACGTGGTTCTTGTGCTGTCAGATTCCCAGTGTGCCCAGGACCTTACAACCAATAAGAGGATTGAGTGACGTGTCCACCTAAGCTCTTCCCATGCATAGACATGATGTTTGTGAGAGGACCTAAGAACGGATCAAAGCAGCTCCCATCAAGCCTTTTAAAAGCAATGTGTGCTTCCCACTCCTCTGTACTAGGTTCTCCTGGGCAATTGATAGAGTGTGTAGGGGCTGAGAGTTGAAATGTATATTTTTCTGCCTTTATTGTGAGAGAAGGGTGCTGCTCATGTGCTAGACTAAAGAAATCCTTGGCTTGTAGTCCGAGGTATGAGCTGGAATAAATTGTTGTAGGCCTCATTTATCTCACTAGACCTGGGGAGGTTTGACAGCAGCTGAGACTTTGGGTTGCTGGATTGCAAAAGTAGCGACTGTGAAGGTTCATTACGCTATCTGGCTTTACATGTGGATAGCCGGAACTTCGGAGGTTAGATTATGCATCTCTCACAACAATAGAATACAAGTTAGGTGTAGTAACGGAGGAAAAGGACTGTACTGCTTTTTTTGTTTTTGAGGTCTGTCCAGATCAAATCCTTGCATCACATTGGTAATTTCCCTTGGGTGATTTATCTATTACCAGATAACATGAGGTTATTAAATACGTGTGCACAGCAGGCCCTCGTTATCTGTTTGTGTATTGTTGCCCTTTGTTGCAAACATTCTATATACACATGTGCATTACAAATTACATGCCTCTATCTGGTTATAAATATTTTCCATTTGGAATTATCTACTACTGCTACAGAGATGAGAGGTGATCACTTGAGCATGAAAGATAAGGGGCCAGGGAAAGGAAAATAAAAATTACGAAGCACTGAGCTGCATACAAAATAAGTGACATAATCCAATGCACAAGCCTGTTAGATGAAGTGCAGCAAACAGGTTTTCTTCACATGCTTAGCTGGTGCCATGAATTCGAGTTATTACATGAATACAGTTGTGTGCCTACAGAGTGACTGACAGGGAAGAGAGTTGTTTATTGGGGTTTTTGTGCAGCAAACCTGGTATAACCAGGCTTTCTTTATTTGCCAGAAAGAAGTTAGCTGTGTTAATACGTTCTGTTTTTCTAAAGGCTGTGAAATCGTTATTGGAACAATGGAAAAGCAGCTCTTCCTGTTCCTAAGACTTTGGGGCACAAATCATCAGATAAGATGGAAAAATCTTGGTTTACAATTAATTGGTTTGTGCAAGTTCTGTCTTTTTGCCTATTTACTTGCCTTTCATGCAGAAGCGAGATGTACCTGATGAGATGCTCCTAGTATGGCAGGAGCTCTCATGGTGTACTGACTGCTTGTGCTCTGCCAGTTGGCTGTTTAGCCTTGGTGCAAGGCCATGGATCCCATTCTGACCTACTGCACAGGGTGTTCAGGAAGGCCCCGGGATCCTTGCCAGGAGCAAACTGACCAGTGGTCTCTTGGCTCCAAGATAGGCAGTAGCTCTGCTGTATTTCTGCAGCTGCTGTAATGATTTGCCTTCAAAAGTGTCCTTTATGATCCAAGAAAATATCCAGCGTGGTTCTTTACCTGGGGACCAGAGTGTGCTTTCTAGGCAGCTCAATGAACACACAAAGCTAGAGCATAAAAATAATCAATTGGCAGGATTTGCCCCTTTCATATAATGTGTCAGTGCACAATTTCTGGCACAGGGGAGGACAATTGTTGTGTTAAGCCCCATTCTGTATTGAAGAATGATTTCTTTCCCTTCACAGTAAAAGAAGCCATGTTTGTGCCAAGTACTAAGGTTAAAGAGGGACATGGTAATTCCTGGGCCTTTGACATGGAAATAAATTTTTCCCTAAAGGTAAAAGCACAAGGCTTGCAGAGATGGCAGTAACATCCAGCATGCGTTCTGTCGCACTGAAGTCAACAGGGATTTTAGACTTCAGAAAATGCATAGAGTTATGGGGGAGCGATTATTTATTTATTTATTTATCTCTCTTGGCAAACTTACAGCTAAGGAGAAGAGTTTTAAAAAGTCAGTAAAATGCATCTGTCTCAGCAAAGCATGAATGTCAGTCTTTACAAATGCAGTTGTTCTGAGAGCTGTGAGGACTTATTTAAGCACTCTGAATGGGAGTACATTAAAGCATGAAAGTTATTGAAAGTGGGGCTTAATTGTTCTTTAAGCTACTTCTCTATGAATGTGAGGCAGTAATTTATTATTTATGACAACACTGTTTGTATCGATAACTTTAAAATTTGAAGTCTGGGGACAGATCCACAGCTGCTGTAGGACACTGGAGTCCCATGGGACTAAGGCACCTTACGTCATTGAGCATCTTTCCTGATAACTTCCCAATTCAGGGAGCGTAGAGGCATACAAAATGTAGGTTACTTGCGTGCGACTGGGTGAAAAGCATGGTTTGTAGATGGTTTCCCTTCTGAGAAACTCCCTGGGGCATATGTGAGAAATCTTTTCCATATTGTACGCCCTGCCACAACCCCCCAGCATTTGAAGAGGGGGCAGGACTGTGGTCCAGAGTGCTCCTCTGAGCTAGGACTGGCCAAGCCAAGCCAGCTGCAGTATTGCAAGGAGAGCAGTTGCATTGCCCGGACCTCTCTCAAGCCCACCACTCTCTCATACCATAATCCTGAAAGGAAGATGGCTTTGTGGAGGGATTTTCATGAACTAAATGATCCCTTCACATACAGTCTCTGTAGCTGCGGGATGGCTGACATCTTTTGACTCCTTATGCTCCCTGCCTCCATCCTGCCCTGCTTCTGCCCCTTCCTATGAAGGCGAAGTTGCCTGAATTCTTCAGCTTTGTCACGCTGAATAGGGAAACCTGACAAACAAAATATTTGTGGATTTAGTAAAAATGAACAACCAACCTCTTAGAAGTATTAGAACTTATGTTAATATTAAACATAATTATGGCACATTAATTATGTTTTCTATATTTATGAGAAAAGTTGTGCTGTGCTTTCCAGACATCTGTACCATATAGAGGCAGGTGGTACAGTGCAACATTTCCAAGTGCCAGATCAGCAGCATTTTCCCATTCCATGTACGGCTGCTCTTTCTCTCCAATTGCAGATACTCATTCAGCTTAGTCAAATTGAGTCCTTATTTGAGAGATTCTGTGCTGAAAAGCAAACACATCTATCTTTATAAGGCTGTTTGTTTCCATAATTAGAAACCGAATCAACAGTGTATTGAAGATGACACATTTGCTCATTCCCTTTCTTCTCCCTATGGTGGCATAAAGCAGTGAAGCACAATAATTAATGTAAAAGACTGTTTATTATTCATGCAGTGTGTTTGAAGTGGAAAAAAAACAGAGCATGGGTTAAAAATATATTGCTGAAGACCATCAGTGCCATCACAAAGTCCCTTCTAGGGGGAGAGTCCCATCATTCAGTCCAGTTGTGCAGGGTGCTCTAAAACTTTAAAAGACAATTGAACTCAGATTTCTCATGTAAAACTCAGGAGAATGTGGACTGCATGAAAAAACCTGACTTAAGTATCCTGCTAGGGCATCTTTAATGTTCTTACCAAAACAGTGACTTTTTAAGCTTCGTTTACACGTCTGCTGTGTCTCCTGTGGCTCAGTGAAAAGTACACATTTTTTTTTAGTAGACTTATCTTTTCTTCTGGGAGAATCTGCCCAATAGGTTTTGTAAGACAAAGGGTGCACATCATGCTCTGCTCAGCACTGTGCCTTTGCATAGGAAGGCTAATCTGTTTTAAATAGCAAAGGCCAGAAAATGCCTGACTGCAAAATACTGCTTCGTCTACTGTGGACATGTTACAGAGTAAGTCACTGCTTGTGGGCCAGTTTTGAAGAGTAGGTAAAATGCAGCACTTTCCTCTGCCTCCTGAGGCTGATACTGAAGTCTAGGGAAGGATTCCTCCATACTGACTGACCATGAGTAAGCCTGCAAGGTTCCCCTGAGACTCTTTCAGGCTACTTCGTTTGCAAAAAGCTGCAGTGTAACCAGAAATTTAAAAGTGCATACGGCCTAGTAAATGTCACAGCTATAATGTACAGCTGAAGTCATGCTGGTGGCAAGCCAAGATTTGGGTTGTGTTCCATTTCCACCTATTTCCATATTACACCTAGCTATGAAATAGATTTAGTGTTTACTCAAACTTATAAAGTCAGTTCACATTAGGAAAAGTATGTGACAGGAGTAAGAATAGCCCACTTGGTAAAAACGAAGGTGATTGAGAGAACAGTGACTCTATCAAAGGTACTGATTTTCAGTTCCTTGATTAGAGCCTGCTTTCCTTTTATATATTTTATACTCAATGGTGGTGCTGTATTGTTGTGGCAAATAAAGCTTCTTGGTATAGCCAAGCTGTGAACAGCCACTTACACTGAGAACAAAGCTTTGATCTTCATGTTTTGATATTCACCTTCTGCAATGCTACATTTTGGGAACAGAGAACTGCTTTGCACTATTTTTAGATGGGCACAATTTCAGTAACATAAGTGTCTTCTTTTGTATTTAAAGTGCTGTTAGCTAGTGGTTGGTGTGATAATTTTGTGCTTTCTACAGATCTCTGTGTTAGGGGATGAACAATAAAAATATGTGGCTTTGCACAAGCATGATAGAAAACCTGAATATGATTTTTTGACTTTATAAAGGAAAAAAAGGTATATTGATTCATATGCAGCAAATATAATACAAAGTAGAATAGTGCTCTGTGCTATGTGTGTTAATGCCTCATACTCTTTATTCAAGAAGATGCAGTCATAGATAAACAATTTGAATAAATATTGGCAATATAGTGTGGAAAATTCTAGGAGTATATTGAGTCAATTTCTAAAATATAGCTGCAGTTTAAGTACTATGATGGACATGGTCATCAGATTATTTCTTTTAATTCTTGTTCTTTATGAAAAACTGTAAGTATCAGCATTTTTCTTTGGTATTCTCTCGCCTCCATGCAGAGTTCATTTATGCAAAGGTATGTGGCATGCACAGTCCTGCAATGCCAGTGGAACCAGCTGCAAGACCATCATGCCTGGTGGCTATCTCAGAGTCTTTACAAAGAGGGGTAAATTTTAGGAGTCTTTGTACTTGATGATCTTGTGCTTTCCTCCATATCCTGGAATTGGATACACTTCAGTGGAAATGTTCAAAAAAATGTGTAGATGTGGCACTTCAGGACATGGTTTAGTGGGCATGGTGGTGTTGGGTTGACGGTTGGACTTGATGATCTTAAGATCTTAACCTTAATGATTCTGTGATTTTATTGTTACTTTTTTCCTTGAAATATTGTGAAAGAAAGAAAATGGACAATACATGGGCTTTTTTTTCTGGAAATATAAGGTAGTTACCTTGTTTGTTGCTACAGTAACATGATATGCACTTATGTAGCTATGATACTTTATGATTGAGTGCTTTATTTTGTGGCATGCTAATATTAAACAGTGGCAGGATTCTGATGTCAGTCATGTAGGCTAAATAGCTACATGTGGAATTTTTTATTTCTATATAATTTATGGTCCTACTTTTTGTTTGCCTCCTTTTAGACTTGACTATTTGAGAATTCTTAGTAGTTAAATCAAAAGGGAGTATTTCCATGTGTAAAGACTCCAGTTTTTCTGAAAGAACAGGTTTTTACATCTTGACAAGCTGATACTTCTTGTTTACATCTAATTCTTTCCTTTCCACAGAAGAACTCAAGGAGAAACTAAAGAAGTATGTTGATGAAGTGAACGCCCGTAAGCCTGGTTTCATCAAGGTTGTTCGGCACAGCAAACAAGAGGGGCTGATTCGATCTCGCGTTAGTGGATGGAGAGTAGCCACAGCACCAGTAGTTGCTCTCTTTGATGCCCATGTGGAATTCAATGTGGGATGGTATGTGTCTCCTTGAATTTCTCTGACTAGGGGACCTTTTCCAAGTGCTGTTTCTAAATTGCTGAATGACGTTTCTTTTGGATATAGAGGGTGAATTAGCATTCTGATCTTTTTAATGACGATTCAGACACAATCATGGGCACAAGCATGAGAAATGTGTTTGTGCTGCGTAACATAATCTAGATCCATTTTTATAGTGTGAGTTATCTGCTGGTCTAATTATAATGTATTTAAACTGTATTGGAAAACTGCATGTTAAAACCCCCCTCTGATAATGTAGCCCTTTGCCCATAGGGGCAAGTTTATCTTCTTTTAATTAAAAATATGTTTCTTTTATGTTCTACAGTGTAAACAAATAAGTGTCATTTTGGCACTGAGGTTGCTGCTCTGAGAAAAAGTAGCACATAACTAAAACCATCTATTTTAACTTGTTCAGTCTGGGTTTAATATCTCTGTTGCTTCTTCAGTAAAAAAGGTTGTAAAAAGGCAGGAGCTTCTGTCCCTAGGATAGATCTATTATTAGCTCTGTTCTTGATGTCCTTGATAATACTGAGAGCCTGAAGTTACCGTTATTTGGTAGCAAGGATGTAAATCTAAGATATGCAGATACTCATTTCTTCCATTCACCAGCTAGCATCAAGGTTAATAATACAGCATCCTAGATAAGATATTGCAGTGTGTTATTTTGAGGCAGATCCGGCTCTGTCAAAACTCCATCTCAGAGCAAAAGGAGCTCTGAATGGGTAACAGGTATAGACTTTGCCCTTTCTGAAATATACAGCATAAGCTGTTATTTCCATCAGTACTATGCTTCTACTGATGTAGTCGTAACTTTTTTTTTTCTTTTTTTAGGGCTGAACCAGTGCTCACTAGGATAAAAGAAAACAGAAAAAGAGTAATTTCTCCATCATTTGATAACATTAAGTATGATAATTTTGAAATAGAGGAGTATCCCCTCTCAGCACAGGGGTTTGACTGGGAGCTGTGGTGCCGATATCTGAACCCTCCTAAATCATGGTGGAAACTGGAGAACACAACTGCTCCAATAAGGTAACGTGCAACTGTGACCTAGATTAGTGTGTTACTGGCAATGCTCATTTAAGTATGACAGATGGTGAGTGGTCTCAGCTATGTAACAGGTTTTACTGACTGTAATGTTAGATTAGATATTAAATTAGTTCAATGTCCTTGAGCTGTCATCTTCAGCTTTCATCCTGGACCCCTACACAGTCATCAAGGAAACTGTTGTTTTCAGTAGATCTTTTAAAATTGGTTTCCTTGTTATTAGCGTGGGGCAAAACACATAGCTGAAGTGAAATGGTAAACTTGAATGCTCAGCAGCACTGCTTTCTCCAAGTGTCTTGTCTGCTAATTTAGTGGTAATGGGCCAGAAACAGAATTGTCTTTCCAAATGCATTATATAAACAGAACTGACCTGCCAGTTGTATTCTTTACAATACTGTCACATAGCTTTACAGCTGTGTTATGTCCTAGGAGTAGGACAAGTAGACAAGTAGACAAGTAGACAAGCTGGTCGCTTGTCTTTGCTGCACACACTTATAGTGTGTGAGCAAAGACTGTATTAGATCCTTGCTTTGGTACAAGCTAGCTCTGTGCTTTCTCATCATGGCTAGAGTGTTGTTAGGCTGGTACAGAACCGTACCCTTACCTCGGGGAGGGGAGTAGGTGCCTCTGAATCCCCCCAGCAGCTCTGCTGAAATTCCAGGCCTTTGTCCTGACTATGCATTCATACCAAGGAGGTCACTGTTACCTATACTCTAGCTCTCTGCAGAAGGTGCGAAGACTGTTTTCACCAGCTGCAAAACAGAACCTTAAATAGCACTGGCAGCATGAGGGGGTCATCACTACCAATCAGTTTCCATGCAGTCAGTGTAAGGGGTATCTTTCATTCAGTAGTTCTGTCTTTTCAGGTAGACAGCTTTTTTCAGGAGTTGTCAGCTTAAACACTCTGAACTGCACTGACCCACATGCTGGTCGTTAGAACAGGACTCAGAATTGGAAGGTAGGAGGTAAAAATTCACAGGGTTGCCACAGACATACAAAAAAGGGGGTGGTAATTTCCACATCGTTAAAAATGGTTATCAGTGTTAATAAACTCTGTTAACATTATGAAAATGCTTTGAAGTATTCTGCTAAATCCTGTAGAAGCAAACCTTCTATATTAATTATGGTGACTTTTAAAATTAGACGTATTTAAACTCAGAATAAAGAGCAAATCTACTTTTCCATTTTATCCCAAAACTCTGTTCTATGAGAGAATTGTGGAGCGAAGGTCCTTTATGAATATTGGGTGTTTAGGTTTGTTACCTAGCCCTTTTCCTGGTGTCTTTTATTTAGTGCAGTACACTGCATGTGTGATGGATAATTAAAACAAAGTAAAGAAAAAGCCACATGTATTGATGGGTGGCTTCTATCATGCTTCCAATATGCTTCTAGAATTATAACAAAGGGAAGAAGGTACTCTGAAAAACACTGTAAAAACACCACTAAAAGCAAGAGTACTTTGTCATAAAAGAAGCATAATTTTTAAGGTGATGTTTTCTTCATTAATAAATACATCAGAAACAGTCTTTCATTGTTATTAAATGTGTACTAGCACTTCAAGTTAAAGGCATAAATGTGTAGATTTCTGTAGAATTGTACAATTTGTGATTAGGACATCTTATAATCTGTTTGAAAGCAGATGTCTACACTTACTGCAGCTTGAATGTTCCCAGTAAATGCAGGATGATTTCCCCTGTACTGCTAATTAATATCCTGTTGTTACAAGAGTTTCTGATACCAGGATAAAAATCAGAAAAGACATTTTTATTTCTTGCCATTGTGGATTATAAGGTAGGAGAAAAATGAAAAGGCTAAATTACTCTGTATTCTCCTCCACTGCATCTCATAATGGCAAAATCGTACTCTCTGGCCCTGCATAGTAGAAGTTGGTTAATTCAGGTCATGACATAAATACAGCTTACTGACTCGGTAAAGATATGTGACTTGTTTAAATTTGGCTCAGGACAATGGACCAGTGTTACAGTATGCTGTTAAGGGCAGACATCTCTTGATTCTGTATTGTAAAGCATTATCTGGATGTTTCTATTTAACAAATAATTTATTTTACATAGGCTTACAGACACAAGTTTTCTTAGCTGCAAATGAACCTAGCTTCTGGCTAAACACACAAAACTGTGCCTCCTTGGGTGTTCTTGTTAATCATCACAAACAAGAAACCTGAGGGCGTAGCAGGGACAGAGGCTAGAATGGCTGGTGCCTCAGAAACAAAGTTGGGGCTCCTGGTGTCTCGTATTGTTAACACTGAAATCCTACCTGTTCTAGTGAATATGTATGTCCAATAATTTTGAGTCTGCTTTCCTTCAGTGGTGCTTATTTCACCATAGAATCAAGAACATTAAAAGACAAAGCTGAATAAATCTGTTTTGAGATTAACACCCTTCTGAGAATCTGTCTTGATGCACCATTTGACCCAGCAATTATAATTCATTTCTGAATAATAAAATTGTTCATATTCTATTTGCTAATTTTGCTTGCTGCTGGTTTATTCTTCCAGAAGTCCTGCATTGATTGGATGCTTCATAGTAGATAGAGAATATTTCCAAGAGATTGGCTTACTGGATGAAGGCATGGAAGTATATGGAGGAGAGAATGTGGAGCTTGGAATCAGGGTAAGGAACATAACTAACACTGGTGATTTACATTTGAAATGCTGCTTCTTATTGCAGGAGAAAAAAAAAACAGTAAAAAAATATATGGATGATGGCATGCAAAGGGGGTCCACAGCTCTGTAGTAGTATAAATTGTTGTACTGGGGGAGCAGCGTGGAGAACAAAAGCTCCTATGTCTTTATAAAGAAGTTATCTGGGACAAGGATAGAAATACAGAATTTGGTATTATTCTTTCGTTGAAGTAACAATGCTTGAATTCTGCAGAGATGATACCTAAAACTCCCTGCTTACCTGTGATCCCAGACTTGGTAAGGAGGATAGTTTCTCACAGTTGTAGTGGGAAATGCCTTTCTAGATTACTTGGGTTTTTTTTAAATTGGGAAAATCACTGTGGAGCAAACTGGAATGTATAGGCATTTACGATGCCCTCCCTCTGGAGGGGAATTAAGATATTCATGAAGTTCATAAGTGCACATATTTTCTTCTTCCATCATATGCTCTTCATCTGTTTACTGTCATAGAATCATTTAGGTTGGAAAGGGCCTTTAAGACCATCGAGTCCAACCGTTAACCTAACACTGCCAAGTCCACCACTAAACCATGTCCCTAAGCGCCTCGTCTACACATCTTTTAATACCTCCACCACTTCCCTGGGAAGCCTGTTCCAATTCTTGACAACTCTACTGGTGAAGAAATTTTTCCTAATATCCAATATAAAACATGTGGCATTGTGTGTGATTTGTTTACTTCTTTCTATATTTCTTTACAGCTAAAGACCATTCTGAAAGTACAGTGCTGTTCTGTTTGAGAATCTTTCACATTTTTGATACAAGAGAAATCCTTAGATAGAGAGCTGGTAATGAAAAATGGTATGATGTGTCTTACAAAATTAAATTCTGAACTCTGCTACGAAATGTTAGTGGAAGCTTGTATTTTGTGCTTTTTAGTTGCCAGAATAAAAAGCATACTGTTACACAGTAGCAGAAAAAGGAATTTATTTTTAAAATATAGAATTCTCTGCTGAGACTGTGAGATATAACAAAAAATACTGATTTTTACTTCTGGATTCCCGAGTATCTTTTTCTCTCAGCTGTCAGAGAGAAAGTGTTATTGCAGCAAGATTGCAGCACAGGTCCCTCTTAGTTACACTAGAGCACAGTTTTAGGGAACGAGAGAGTGAAATGCAAGATTGCTTCTTTTAATAACACTATTCTCCTCACTGTGAGGGCTAGAGAGCTGTCTTCTGTTCCCAAAACCTGATTTTGCAGCTCAGTGTTGCGATGAGTTGAAAATTAGTCACTTCGATTTTTCTTTCCTTTTTTTCCAACTGACAAGGCTATTGACTCCTTGTGAGTGCAAGGAGTTTTATCTAGCTTTGCATCATGAGATGCATGCTGCCCAGTCGGCTGTACTTAGCCTTGCGGAAGTTGATTGGGAAGAGTACTTTGATAGACAAGACCAGAGAGAAACAAATCTCTGCATAATTGAAACTTCGGAGTACACTGGATCACTGGAATAAGGCCCAACTCTGCTCTGATTTCGATTTCCTTAGGGCTTTTTCTCTGTCTCCAGGGAAGCAGTGCCTGACCTACATAAAATACTTTCATGTGTAACAGATTGTAGCGTGCAAGGTAGCATAATGTATACTGCCTCATCTAACTTTGTCCTGACTTGGATCTGTGTTCTTGGCTGTATCAAAACAAATTACTGAGCTGTAATTTTTTTTGTTTATTACCAGTTCTCCTCACAATTCTCAGCATATCCCAGATAATACCAGGATGAATATAAATGTACAGTGCAATATTAGAGCTTCTGGGAAGCACAGTATTATTTCTACAAAAGTTAAGTTTGAAAAGTAAGCTCCTTCCCTCAGCTACCTGCCTCTGGTGCACACTTGGGGCCATACACCATGTCTTGGCAAAATGCAGGTGGCTGCTTCAGATGTGCTCTCAGATTATGGTCAGCAGCCATGTCATTCAGCTGCGTCCTGAGCACTTGTCCCTAGAGGTGCAGCTCCCATGGGCTGCCTTTCAGTTCCTTTACGTAGAGGTATGTGGAAAACAGATTTCAGGCCAGATGGTCTGCTGAACTACATTTGCGCTTCTGCAGCACCAAATAGTCATCTCTAGGTGACTTGTCTTACTTTCAACTGCGAGGCCTATGATGAATCACTTAATAAAGACTGTAATTGCTCTGCAAAAACTACGTTATAATTACAGTATCAGCGCAATAAATAATGTTACCATTTCAAAATTATGCACTCCAATCCATGACTACAGATTGCTCACTGTGCTTCATCTTTGATTGCCATTTTCCTTTTTTAAGAAGTATCTAGCTTCGTCTAGTATTCTGCTGTGTGATACACATTGTTGTGTAGGGGTGGTTAAGTAGACACCGTGTGCCCAAACTGGCCTGGTATCCAGGGAGGCCAAGAAGGAGGATGCTGTGTATCCCATACTCTGATATGATGGAGTTGATATCTAGTGAAATGGCATTAATTTTTTTCATGGCTTGAGTTTCTAAGCAAATTCATGCAGCGTGTTCCCATTCTTTGCCGTATTTAGGAAGTCAGTTCTTTCATTGGGAAATTTTATGCATAGGCATGTAAGAGCAAACAACTACAGGAACAGGAGCGGTTATTTTCAACTACAGAAATGGCAGCAAGAGTTAGGATTTGAGCTACCTTTTTATCTTAAACACACTAAGTAGAACATGGTCCCGTGTCCTTATATTACTAATTTTGTTCCAGAGGATGTAAAACTACTGTGAGCAAAACTCATATGCAGACCAGCTGCAGCATCATGTGGTGACAGGAGTGGGTAAATTGCTATCTCTGTGCCTATGCACAGAGTCAAAGCCTTATTCTTTGTTTGCTTTCTTAGCAGCTGCATCTTCAGTGATGTGAGATAAGATTTAAACTCCTGGCTGAGATGCTTCTGAGAAGCAAAGTCTACCTATTTAGGACTTCCTCTCATTATAAACAAGAAACCACTACTGTGTCTTCTAAAATCTTGAAATGGTCTGTTTTCAGCTGAACTTGATGGGGTTTTCACTGTGCAGGGACAGGAATTAGACCCTGACAAAATGAAGACTTATCCCAGTATCCTCTCCCAGGAGGTGGTGGTGTTACCTCATCATCTGCACAAATATCTAGTTATTTGTGTTACAGGAGTGCAAGAAAACCCCCAACTATTGGAAACTCTATCTGAAGCAGCCATTGCTGGTAAAACCGTAACAAGCCACATAAAACAGGTCTTTGATTGGAGGATTATCCTCTTGACTCTGATGAATTAGTTTCTCTACTCAGCTCTATTCATCTCTAATTTGGTGTATTATTTTAACTTCTAAGAATTTTACCCCTGTCTGTGGCTTTGTAATAACATTTGTAAAATATTAAACATATATTATTAAATAAATATTAATAGAGTTATGTAGCCTTGAGCTAGAAGCTGACAAATGAGTTAAAAATAAGAACACATTTTGAATCTTAGCAGCAACACTGTATTTTCTCCTCAAGCAAATATTTTCTCACAAAGCTATTTATTTGCCCCACAAGAAAATAAAGGCAGGCTGGTTGATGCAAGACTTGACAGCATCCTTTTTGAGCAGCTCGGTCACTTTTTGTGGGATTTTTGAAAGATTCATTTACTGTGCCCCACTTAAATTCATGTTAGGATGACTAATGTTTCTTTTTGGTTTATGTTCAATCATTCCCAGTTGAATGGACTTAAGTGTGCTTTTAAGGGTTCAGAATGCATTTGGTGGCCAAACTAGAACCACATTGCTTATCCAAGAGACGAAATAGGAACTGTGTTGTTAACTGCCTTAGAGCAGAAACAAAATGTGAGTGTAAGGCTGGCGTTTCTCACCGTTATTTGGGCTCTGCTTCTGGGTTGTGCTTGCACAGGCAGTACTTGTTATGGAAGCCCCTACAAATCCATTGCAATCAATGTGATGCAATCAATTATACCCTGCATTAGATGGTTCAAGTCTAGTTTTCAGTAGGCTTCTTAAGGGCCTGTTCCAATTCCTACTGAAGTCAGCAAAAGATTTTCTATTCAGAGCAAGCCTTTAGCAATCTTTTTGTCTTTTAAAGCAGCCTACATGTTACATAAAGCTTCCAAATATCTGTTACAACAAAGTTGTTTGTACCACTTTTAGGGATGCCTGAATAAATACTCAGTGATTGGCCTGAGGTCACAGACTAAGTCATCGTCAGAGTCAAGGGAATGTAAGCCCCGGCTGTGACTTAGAGTAATTATGTATGTCACAAAGACTTTCTGCTTGCAGATTAATTCATGTGCACAGGGATATAATGGCCCTGTTAAATGGGTAAGAGGAAAGTTTATTATAAGGTAATAGCTCTTTAAGGGAAAAGGAATGGATCTTGCTCCCACAAAATGATATATCAAGGCTTTATATCAGCTGACCCAGGAAGAAAATTGCATTTATGGTTCAGACTAAGTACGGCACGCTACTTTTATATAGTATATTACCACAGTGAAATCAGTTGGTTTTGCAATAAAATAACGTTGTAATAAATATATCTGCTTCATTTCTTGTTAGTCTGGCAGTTTGTCTATAGCACTTACATGAAGCTGGTGCTTTTTCTGATGGTGGAGAACTGGAGGAATGCAGTTTATGAACAGAGATGCAGAAATTAGTTATTTGACCAGAAAATAGTCACAGTGTTCTTTGGGGGCTTTTTTGAAGGTGCTTTTGACTCTAACTATCTTTTTTCTTCTTTTTTAACCTCGCCCTCCCTCAACTTCTGGAATCATGATTCTTCGTTTCTGACTAGTTAACCTAGTCTCTCTCATGTGGTACATAGAAGCCTATTGCTGGATTACATGTCCAGTTATTTCCAATCCAAAGTGTTTGTGTATCCCAATTGTTTCTCACCTGAGATCCCTTTCTTATAATATGCCCTTGCAAGAGTCTTCTTTTTGATAATCATGAGCAAGAGCAGATATTTACATTTGCCCCCAAAGCTCCATATT